AGCAGCTGGAATGGTCAGTGGGGCAGTGGCACATGAGGCACATTCCTGGTGTGAGGTAGCCTGGGGTGTGCAGAGATGGGCACAGTGCCTGTGTGTGATGCCACGGGGGACAGAGCTCAGCAAACACAAGGAGCTGGGCACCACGGGCTGTGCACACAGCACAGGACCCAATGGCCAGACAGAAGTTACTCAGAGCCACTTCGCCAAAAACGAGGGCCAGGTCAATGGCAGACAGGGGCACCTCCAGGGCTCTGTTCACAAAGGAATTGGCACCAACCCCATCACCTCCACACCAAACTGCCTTCAAAGAAGCCCAGGCTTTACAATGACCAATACAACGTGTGTTCCACTAGAAAATGCCCTTCCAGACAGAACCTCTCCAGTTTATCTGGCTTTCAACCACCACTTGTGACTGGTCAGTGAATCTGTCCCTCTCCCCACAGTGTCCATATATTGTGAGTGTCCCTTCACACCAGTCTGTCCCCAACACTCTACAGGGAAAACACAGAATCACAGAATCGTGGAACAGCCCGAACTAAAGGGACCCACCAGGATCCCCCAGCCCAGCCCCTGTCCCTGCCCAGCCCCCCCAGCAGCCCCAGCCTGGGCACCCCTGGCAGCGCTGCCCAAAGGCTCCTGGAGCTCTGGCAGCCTCGGGGCCGTGCCCATTCCCTGGGCAGCCTGGGCAGTGCCAGCACCCTCTGGGGGCAGAGCCTTGCCCTGAGCTCCAGCCTGAGCTGCCCTGGCCCAGCCCCAGCCGTGCCCTGGCTGCTGTCACAGAGCAGAGATCAGAGCTGCCCCTTGCAAGGAGCTGCAATCCCTGCTGAGCTCTGCCCTCGCTGCTCTGCTGCAGCTGAACAATCCCAGTGCCTTCAGCAGCTCCTCACTGCCTTCCCCTCCAGTCCACCCAAGTCAGCCAAGAGCAAAAGCCCCCTCCCCACTGCACAGCCAAGCTCAGCTGGAAACCAGCACTGCCAGGGGACACTGACTGCAGAGCAGCTGCTGCTGCCCAGCCAGGAGCTGTGGGGAGAAGAGGGTCCTGTGGGACAGACACCCAAGCTGCAGATGCTTTCTCCAAGGGCTGGTGGCCTTGGCTGGAGGAGAAGCTCCCATTGCTGCCCATCAGTCATAGCCCCACCTCTCCCTCCCAGGGCAGCAGCAACCAAGCTTTGCCCATGTAAGGATCAAGAGTTGCAGAAGCACAAAAACTCTGAAAATACACAGAGTATTTCTTCCAAATTGTAAAGTCTTCATGTCAGAAATAGTTCTGGACTTCTTAGGCTTTCCCTAGACCTGCACAGACAGCACTGACCTCCTGCCCTGCTGTTCTTAGTGGCTGTCCTGTGGTGGAAAGGAGGACAGGAAGAACAACGATGCTTCTGAGACCATCACCAGCTAAGGACATCTCCTGGGTTTCCTTCCAGCAGTAATGATAATGTTGATAATGATCAACAAAACCCAGGAGGAAATCCAACATCAATTCCTCTTTTCTCTCCTCCTGCAGGACAAACCAACCCCAAGTGCAATGCTGGCAGCTCAAATCAGCCTTCTCCTGAGTCCCTTAAAGGAAACCTGGTCCAATTGCTCTTCCTTTTTATTCGCAAGTGTCTTTGGATCTCAGAGACACTGCAGGGACCTGCTCCAGGCCAGGGACAACAGAGACAGGGCAAGAGCAGTGCCTTGCCAGGTTCCCACAGGAAGCCCCTTCCCTGGAGCAGGAGGAGAGGACAGTTTGATGTTCACAGAAAAAAGCAAAAGCTTCTTCTCATCACAGCAGGAGGTGGGGTGGGGACAGGAAGCACTGTTTTGAACAGGGCACACCACAGCCAGCCCAGAGTCAAAAGTATTCCCACAACTGAGAAGTGATCAGGAAAACAAACAAACAGCAATCTGTAAAACCTGCTCTTGAGCTCAGACTCATTTACTGAAAGCATCCACACTCCTCAGAGCAACCTTCCTCAAAACATGCCGTCAGGTTCTCAGGCTTTCCTTTCCAAGTTCCTCATCTGTGTCACACACACCCCCAGCTCACCAGGTGCTGCAGGTGACTGATGGGCAAGTCCCTGAACATGCCAAAAGAAGAGAGGGAGCTTTTTGTTTCAGATCTTGGCTGAGCCTTTAGGGGCAGCCAGATGCAAACAGACACAGAAGGTCAATAATCCTGAGCCAGGACCCAAGACTGATGCTCACCCTGGAGCTGAGTGTCCAGAGCCTCCCCCTGTCCCCAGAGCCCCTGAGGGATGGTGGCCCGAGCCTCACCGAGCGTCTGCTGGTTGCGCACGCCGCCGATGACCACGCAGATCTCCGCAGGCACGTCCCCCGGCCCGTCCTTGATGTTCTTCTTGGAATCTTTGGTGTCATCCTGCCAGATCACCTCCTCGATGTAGTCATCTGGTACCTCTGTCTTCACTTTCACCTCAGTCATCATTCCAGCCTCTTCACTGGGGGAGGACTGAGATGTCACCGAGTCGGAGCCCTCGGCTTTGGGGCTCTGCGGGCTCCTCTTCAAACACTCCCTGAGGGGGAAAGAGAGGAGACAATGTGAATCCTCAATGGCAAATGCTCTTTTTGTCATCACCAGGATCTAATTCAAGGTGCTCTGGTTTATGCAGGTTACTTAAAATAAGTATATTAATGTATGTCTGCCATACATGATAAATAATTAAAATTTAACTGGACAAAAGCGGTAAAATTATTTGCTAGTAATGAAAATAACCTTAATTATCACAAACAACAGTAGTGCTCATAAACACACTGGACCCCTAAAGAAGAGCACAGAACTTGCCCTGGTTGCCAGCAGGCCATGGGCACAGCTTCAGCAGTTCTGCCTGCAGGTGTTTTGCCAACACAAGTCCATACACACAAAGCCATATTCTCTGTGGCACTTGGGGACATGGGTCACTGCTGGACCTGGCACTGCTGAATTCAGTTTGATTTGATGATCTCCAAGATCTTTTCCAACCTAAACTAGTCTATGATTTCCTGACATTTTTAATTTGGAGCAATCTCCACCCTCCATCGCATCCTCTCTTTTATCCCTTCAAGCAACCTGACATGCCCTGGTATTCAGAGGCTTTACTGAACATACACAGTGCTGATCAAAGGGGATCATCTGGAGGATGAGGATATTTAGGGAAACTACCACATTATGGACAGATACAACTGTTTGGGATGACAGGGAGAGCCTGATAGAGGGGGAAAGGCAGAAGGGCTCCACTCTGCTCAGACCAGGTTAAAGAGCATGTGTTTTCATCTGGAAAGAAGAGCTGGGAATTTCTGGGAGAAAACAATCTAAAATATTCAAAATTCTTTAAGAAAAGGAAACTGGACACCTCAAGGCTGTAAAACAACAATATCAGGTGCTGTGGTGGGAAAAGGCACTAGATAAGGATGTGGAAATAAGCCAGTGGAGCTCCTTTAGCAGCACTCATTATGGACCCCCAATTTTTTATACTGGTTATTAATACACTCCACCATGCAATACAAAGATAAAATAATTGCTGGTTCAGTTTGTACAGAAATCAGAACTAAATATATAATGGCTCAGACTAGCTAGAAACAGAAACCACTGTGACATATTTAGAGTCATGTAAACACTGGGAACAGCCAAAGGCATTTGAAAATGTTTTAAGCAGAAGAAACAAAATAAAATGAAAAATAGGCTGAACTTATAGATGATCATTAGATTGTGCAACAGTGACAGTGAAAAAACCCCATTTTTTGGAACATCATAAAGTTTGTCAGGGCAAAGTATGAATTACAGTGTTAGAGAACTACACAACTGTCAGTGGGTTCTGACACAGATCATGGAGTTTGCAGAGGAACCAGGATGGTGCAACTGCAGGTGAAAGTGTGGAGCTCCTGGGAGGTCAGGATGAGGGGAGCAGAGGAACAGAGAGAACAATCCTCCAGTAATTACTGCCCAACCTCCCACACAGACATGGAGTCACTATTTCAAACTGGGTCAGGCACATCCTATTGCCAGAGATTTTATTATTCATCCCTTCATTCTCATTATGGAATGAAATGTACAATTAATAGCCCCAAACAGAGAGAATTAGCCTTGACCTGCCTTCCCACTCATTTCCTGCCTTCTCACATATACTCCCCCCTACCATGCTCCCAAAATCATACAGGGTTCTTACAAGTGAGAAAGATGGATTGAGACAGAGAAGATGTGGTTGAGATCCAGACAGGCTTTATGGTAATATTATTGGGTGTGCCACAGGCCCATCCATCTCAGCCACCAGGGCATGGCTCAGCACCCTTCCAAGGGAAGGCAGTGAGCACAGAATACTCAGGGATCAGCAAAGCGTGGGATTGATTGCAGATCAATCAAACCCAGAGGGTGTGAAATGCAAAACACTGATAAAGGCAACAGTAAGGTAGATAGGAAAATGTTTCCTTCCTCATTGAGGGCTGTGGAGGAAGATCAAAGGCAGCCAGGGCAGTTCCCTGGGAGGCTGCAGGTGGGAGAGGCAGTGAGAGCTCAGTTATCCATGGCACAGCCAGGGACCTGCCAGTCCTGGGCAAAGCAACAGGAAAATCCAGTCATGAGCCAAGCGATCTGGGATTAGAGCTGATACCAGTGAGACTAAGGCTAGAGCCCTCTGAGGAGATTATAAAAGGGGCGAGGATACAAGGACTTTCTGATGATGCCAGCTTTGCATGGGTCACATTCAAACACAAACCAAATCAGCAACAGGCCCTGTGCTGCAAGGCAAAGCTGTTCTCCATGTGCACTGCTCCTGAATAGAGAGGCATTTCCACAGGACTCCTGGAATGGTTGATGTGGTACAGATTTATTCATGCTCTGGAATTAAATTAAACACCACTGTAGCTAAAATGTTGGGTGGAGCCATGGATGGTTGGAGAGCAAAGCTGTAAACAGGACACTCCACCAGTGGATCCCTCTCTCCACAGCTGGCTGTGCCCAAGACCAGTGGCTGCAGCACAGTCAGACAAGTCCAGGACTGGGGATGCACCCCCATGGTACTGCAGCCACAGAGAGCCACGCTCTGAGCTGAAGGAATGACCACATTTTCGGTTCAGGTGCCCAAGATGGAAGGAAGAGATCATTTTCTCCCTGTCTGAAGCTGTGGTGAAGTCACTGCCCATGTGCTGCAGACACAGTGAGCAGCTTCAGGTTTCAGAGGTGATCAGGAAAGCTGAAGAGGTTCCAAAATGCAGCACTGAACTGGTTCAAGACTGGGATCAGACACTTTATGACTCTGTGAGACCAAACTGCTCCAGTCTGTTTCTCACACCAAAAGGAAAACTAGAAGATTATTTGATTGCATCATCTTCATGGGGAGAAAATACTGTCTTGTCTTGGCAGGGAAGAGCTGAGTGCAACCTCATTGCTGGAAGCTGGAACCAGCTGAAATGAGGTCCCTGGGCTCAGTACAGACGTGCACTGGCCACACTTGGTCTGGAGCTGAGGAATATATAAATTATCAGGCCAGACCAATGGACCCTCAGAACCTTTTCCCCTCATGCACGCTGATTCTGTGGATCCAGCTCTGCCAAGAAAGGAACTTCCCAGCTGGAATGTCTACTCCTGGGTAGGACCTAACCCTGCAAATACTAACTGACAGCAATTCATTGCCCCCTATGTTCTAACTCTGAGCAGATACCTGATGTGCAGAAGGACACACCCCAAATACTTCAGCACCTTTCTTCTACATGATTCCACGGCTCACAAGCCATGAGAGGAGCCTGCTGTTCCCCTCAAACACAAGTGAAACCATAAAACCAGCAGCACTGACACTCCTGGGAGCAGGGCTGAGCTCTCCAAAGGCCACTTGGTGCCTTAGCTGGGGCTGCACAGCTTTGCAGAGGAGGAGGAGGCAGCAGCAGTGGTGGAATCCAGCTCTCCCAGCAGGAGCAAGCATCACTTTCTTGTGGTCCCTGTGAAATCCAGGTCGTGCTTCTGTGGCTAGAGCAGAACCAGGACCAGTCAGCTCAGTTGCTAAATGGGATATAAATGTTCCCAAGGGTCCAGAGGAGAGCTGGGCTCAGGGATTGATCCTCATGGCACAGCAGGTCGAGTCTGAAGCCTCCTGGTTAGGCTGGGGAAAGAGTACCAACATCCCAGAGCAAAGCAGGAAGGAAAAGGAAGCCACTGACACTGGAAAGCTTCAGGCAGGGTGGAAAGGGGGACGTGCACAGCCCCAGCAGGACTGGTTTTCCTTGGAAGAGAGGAGCCATCACAGCCTCCACCACACACAGCCTCAACCCACACATGCACTGAGCCAGGGGAGGTGACCCAGGGAAGCTTCAAGCTTCATTTCATTCCCACTCCTTTGGTCCTTGCATCAGCCCTTGCAAGCCCATGATGCTGCACTTGCTCAGTGTTGTGCTGAATTTTTACCTCCCCTGCTACTGAGCAGCACAAAGAACCTCCACTTGGAGATGAGGATAAAGCAGCAGGAGATCTGGGACATTCTTGTTCTCCAGAAATTCCCCAAGAGACACAGAGGGGACAGGGAACATCCTGCCTGGGAGAGGGAAGACATCAGGCCTGGTTCTGCCACTCCTGTGCCATGGCAGCTCTTCTGGAGCTGAGGCACAACTGCTGGGAAGGCTCAGAAAGGGGATGAGCAACACCAGGAGTGAATTTTCAGTTTTGCAGCTCCCAAGGCTCCAAGCAGGTGTCACAGGTTTGGGTGAGGGCACGGAGGGAAAAGAACTCAAAGCTTTCAGGGTGTCAGGTAAGTTCAGTGTCAGTCCTGGGGGCAGAAGGACTCCCCAGTGTGACCCAGGCAGTGCCCACGTCCCTGTGCCCACACAGAGACCTGTGCCAGCTGCCAGATCCCTGCAGGGCACTGCTGGGGCCACACTGGGACCAGTGATGGCCAGAGCCTCCACTTGGTGGAGACAGCAGCGCACAGGAGCCAAGGGAGAACCTGCCAGAGTCACCTCCCACTGCCAGGTCCCCAGGCCACCTTCTCCTGGTGGCTCTGAGCTCCGTCCCCAGCCTCATGCCACCACCCTTCTGCAGGAAACAATGCAGGTTTAGCGTTCAGTGTGGCCTTCCACCTCCCTCTACAGGTCCAACCTGCATTCAAACATCCATGGGCTGCTGTTCCCTGGGAAGAGAATAATCCTGCTCTCCAAACAGCACAAAAACTGCTTGGAGCCATCAGAGGAGCAGAGTGCCCAGGCAGAGCTGGCTTAAACCCCATTTCCTTCCACAGGGGGGATCTAACTTCTTCTCCAGGGCTTTGCCCCTTCCGGGGAAATACCAACCTCCTTCACTGTTCCATGCCCTGTTTTGACTGAGCTGTGGGCCCTGGCAATCCAAGAGGCTCTTCCATGCTGAGGAGAGGAGGCAGAAGCCTTCGGATCCCAGTGCTCACTCCGTGCCTGGCTGCTCCTACAGGTGAGGTCCTGTTCCACTTCCCAGAACAGACTCTGTGATTTCCAACATGAAAGAGGCAAACAGACATTGCACTTGCATGTATCACTGCTCTCACTAAGTAGGCCACACAGCCAATTACTGTAATACCAGCTC